ATGTGTGGCTTCATAGCTCAGTTGGTAGAGCATCGGACCGGTATCGCGGAGGTCACGGGTTCGAATCCCGTTGAAGGCCTGATTTTTTTCAGGCTTCTTCTTTCCAATTGCTTAAATTGGAAAATTTACTGCGATGATCATTCTTCACTTTCACTTTGAGAGAGGTTTTGTTGGCCTAAATTTAACTTCTAATACGGCTTAGAGCAATTTAGAGTTGCATTGACTTCTAAAAACACTCATGTCAAGAATGGCGAAAACTCAGTAGGCATCAGTGAAAATTAAGTCTCTTTTCCATCAGGCAATAATTTCTGTTGACTTTGGATACCCTTTCACGTTTTTTTGCTGGGATATAAAGCTGGTGAAAGCTATTCAAAGCTGTATTGAGTTCTCAAGACAAGAATCGACAAGAATGGTGCATCCTAAGAAACTAATCTGTTTTTACGATCGTTGTTCCAAATCTGTCTCGTCATCTTTGTTACTTTTTAATACGTTTTAATTATCACGACATTGCTTTCCGCCCTAATGAACCATCATTTAGAGTTTTTCTTCTTCAATTTGAAAGTTGATTATGTGCGTCGGAAAATTCCGACACAATATATCGAAGCATAGATCCGTTAACATCAGAATATTACGTTTCAGGAACACAACAAAACACGCAACAATAACAACAACGACAACAACAACAACAACAATTCCACGGCAAAGTAGAATCAATGCTCACTTTTCATAATTCGGAACATTAAATCTTTGGCCGTTTGGTGTTAATATGCATATGGCTTGTTTACAGAGGATCAGTAAAACTGTTTAGTCACCGGACCGGAAGTGATTTAAACATTATATCAGTCACGGTTTTTTTAGTTATTTTGGCCACGCATAAAATTACCATTGAATTGAAGGAAACCTGAAAAAAGTAGTTTATTAAGATAGAAAAACACCAAAGAGACGACAATGAACCATAAAAGAACAAGGATGCTTAAGGATGGTGAAGATAAACTCGGATTACAAACGAACAACTTGAAAAATTTAGGTTAGACTTTTCAAGATGTGCCATCCGTGACGTAAGCTCTTTTAAGATGCGATCACGAGGGAGACAGTTGGCCCGAGAAATCTTCCTTTTCCTCTGTTTTAGTTATTTTTAAGGTTTATCATGTGCCTTCCTTGATAAATGTTTGACTGTTTTGATCAAAATAGCTAATGCACGTGTACCTTTACTTTGTTTTACCCAAACCTTAGAAAGTTTCATCGGTTGAAAAGCAGAATCGGAATTAAAGTCACGTTAGCAATCATTTTAATTTATTGTTTTATTTATTTTATTATACATACCGTTTGTATTCAAATTAAAAACAGCACTGTCGATAATATAGGCGATTCTACCCTAGGTAGTTTAGTCAGTTTGGCAGCGTAAGTTGTTAATGTTTTAGGGACATTGTTTCTTCTGTTTGTTTTATTGTTCCCTAAAATGGTATCGAGCCATTCATGTGAAACCTTAGGAGAACTTCTACTTGATCCGGTCTGCTAGCGCTAGCATGAAAAGAAATGGAGGTTGAAAGGAGGAGTCTGGGTCAGTTTCTTTGCTGCATAAAACATAATCTGCAAGCGATCTTTCTGCTTCTTGTTTGTTAAAGAAACTTCACTCTTTCACTTTCCAACACAAGTCCTGCGCAATTACCATACACGTGCACTTCTCATGGAGTTTTCTCGGTGTTTTTCAAACCTTTTCCACACTACGCCAGAGGAATTTAAAAACGCAAGAATCACCGGTCATTTTGGATTTGTGTTTGAAGAAAACTCAGAAAGGGAAATCACATGATTATCGTGGCACCCACGTTTACAAAAAGCTACGCTTTCAAATTGTTTTCCGTCCACACTAAAACGAAAAGCCAGCGTTTTCAAATTCGTCCGGTGTGAAGAGAGTTTCCGAAAAGCTCCGTTTTCTTGACAGATTAATATACAGACGGTAGGCCTTACCGTAGAAATAAAGCTGCGTTTTCAAATTTCTCTGGCCTAACATGGACGCTGCCTCACTCAAACCATGGCTAATTTCACTGATCTTTGTTTTCAGATCTTCAAGACAAAACTTCAGACCAAACAATAATTATTTCAACGGTTCACGAGGGACACCATCAACCGCGAGTAAGTACTCCGGCTAAAACCTACATAATTGCGCATATATTAACATCACAAAATTCAAGACTGCAACTACCAAATTGTTGGGTCTCCACCAGTCCAAACAATCAAATGGAAAAGATGTAGCCTTAATTGGTGTTGGTGTGAATTCAGCGAGAAAGCTCAGTTAAAAGGACCACCGTCCGCAAAGGAGGGGTTTAACATTTTTATTTTTTTGATCTTCTTTTAGTTCTTCTTGAGGGGGCTACGTCACGTTTGCACATCTTAAAAGTTTAGCCTAAATTTTACAAATTCACCTTTTGTTATCCGTGTTGATCTTCTCTATCTTTATTTAAACGTCCTTGTTCCCTTATATGGTTTATTATGATCTCTTTGCTTTTTTTCTATCTTAGAAAACTACGTACTCTTTTCAATTTTCCTTCAATTTTAAGGTCAGTTTGTACGTAGCCAAAATAACTCAACATATTGTGACTGAGCCCCTTTAATAACGTTGGTTTTTTTACAGATTGATCACGAAAAGCGGCAACATGATCGACTTCACCGAATACGCAAGTACTGCAACGATTCTCGAAACAACAAGAACATCTTCCACGAACTTCCAAATCGAAACCATTTCAACTTTGTTGTCAGCGAGAAGCACAAATTCATCATATGCTATGTACCAAAAACTGGATCAAGTCAATGGAAAGATCTGCTACTTAACATCCTCGCAACACACCCGGTGACACCAAATCATGACATCTCATTGTTTGATTACACCATCTTTAAATTTTTGAATAGCTATCCATCGGACCAGAGACAACGTATGCTGGATTCTTACCAAACGTTCTTCTTCGTACGGGAGCCTTTTGAAAGGCTGTTGTCGGCTTACAGGGATAAATTTGCGGGAAAAACGACTTCTTTGTATGAAGAAATGGGGAAGAAAATTGTTCGTGAAGTTCGCGGTGATTCCATGGGAAAGAGTTCTGGTGAGAGACCTACATTTGATGAGTTCACTTCTTACGTTGATCGGCTGTCCGATCCGTCCACATGGGACATGCATTGGCGACCATCACACCAAACTTGCTATCCTTGTGCTATTAATTATGACTACGTGGGTTACTTTGAAACCATCAAAGAAGATGCAGATTACATTTTAAAAAGACTGGGCTTGGACAAGGAAGTAGAATTTCCTCCGTTTAAATCAGGGACTCCAAAACGTCTGGAGACTCACTATTCTCAGATTCCTCTCGACCGTATCATCAGACTTGCTGAGATTTACCGCGTAGACTTCGAAATGTTTGGTTTCAAGTACCCAGACTCCATCAAAAAGCTCTTTAAGGACTGGGTTTGAAATTTTGTCATGGAAATCATTAAATGAATGCAGTACCATGTCGGGGGCAGCGCATCATCTTGAATCGGACGCAACTGTGTTTATCTGATGTAAAAATTTCAAAGGATCGTGTGTTTATCAGCGTTGTTTTTTTGAAAAAACTGTTTCCAATTCAGGTGAAGTGCCCCAAAGTGGCCAAACAAGGGCAGAGTTGGCGTTTTAAAAGATCAACACGTAGGCGGAGTTTTTCTTTCAGTAAACACCTTTTAATACAGCATTGAAGCAGCACCTGTGTGTTACGAGGAAGGATTTTTAACATAACTCGAGGCCAAGCTGACAAAATTACAACGTCTCTTCAGTTCAAGTAAAAATAAGGAGTAACGCATTTAGCTTTTAAAATAATCGATGGTTCATGTTGCCCACTGCAAGTTTCTCCAATTACGACATTTATTCAAGGAAAGTAGTAAAAATTCTTAAATAACATTAAACAGCATATGGTTTATGATATTTTTCAATGATAAAGATTTGTTCGCTTATAAATAGTTTAATCACTTCGATTTGAATATTCTTGAATTTTGAATCTTAAAGAAATGTTTTCTCTTGATATGATTTATAGGACTCAAAATTAAATGTCGTGATGTGATATATAAATCGTGAAAATTGTTGAAAAACGGTGCCTTGTAACAAGATATGTTGGTTTTAAAAAGCTTTTTGGAATAATGAATATCATTTACAGTCTTTTAGAGGAAATTTAATGTTATTTTACGAAACAAAAATGAACGATTGGCGTATTTTAGCAATAATGAAGTGCTTTTTAATAGCTTTAGAAATACATTTGACGATCTACATAATTAACTGATAACCCTTTATTCAAAGTTTTGCTAAAAAGGAAATAAGAATTCAAACAAAAGAAGATTTTCTAAGACACTTCGTTCACGTTTCATAGATGTTAAAAAAATTGCAATGTTTCGTGGCGTTGCAGTTAAATTTCAAACTTAATCATAGTGCAAAGCGCTCACGCAAGACATTTTTTAAAACCCTTTAGAAAGGATTAGTTTTGTTCGGACGCTTTAACCGTATTAATTACAAATCTGCTTAATGAATATTCATCGAGCAAGTATGATTTTAAGAGGTTGTGAAACCTTTGACGATTGGATATTTATGATGTGAGATCGCAACAAAAGATTTGCGCGCCATTCAAACGGACAACAACATTACACCAGCCGGTTCCCGCGATCACGGCTCTTTTACTGTCAAGGAGCCTTTAATTTCCAACTCCAAAAACTGATTATGAAAAAGGAAACAAAACGCTTGCTTGTCCGTGGAACATTTTTTGTACTTTATCTTGCCATGGGGATGTTGGTTTTTAGACAACTCGAGTCACACAATGAGCAACTCGGTATGCTGAGGGCAAAACAGGCCGTTGATCACATGTTGATTAAGTATAACATAAGCCACGATGTGATGAACGAATTCGTCGCAATCATAACCGAGGCTGAAAGTTGGGGATATACGAGTGGGTGGCTGGAGAAGTGGACTTTCACAGGATCCTTATTTTTCTCTGGAACTGTAATTACGACAATTGGTGAGTCGCTTAAAACATTGTAATTTTTTTTTGTTTTTTGATTTTAGAATTTGTACTTCTCCCCGACGTTAACGAATGAATATAATCAAAATTCTTTACAGACACATAAATAAGAAAAATCTTTCATATTTCTTTCGGTATGAAGACAAAAATATTTTCGGTTTCATTTTTATTCATTTTTGGTGACCACCCACAACAATTTAGCCGTTTGGTATACTAAAACTCCAAACGCCGGTAAAACCCAACGGTTACAAAACTTTGCCAATTGTTTCTCTGAGGGGACATATTATGTTCAATGTTGTGTTTTACGGAATGCCCATATATTCACCTTCTTGCTCAGTTAAATAATCGAAGAAAACGAAGGATATATTTTGTTAATCGTTTGCCTTTTATGAAATGATTATTTATTTCGACGTATGTATTTGAATAAATATTTCTTTCACCATGAATAACATCTTAAACACAGTTATAAGATTTAGAACTTTGGGAATATAACTCAACAAACGCAGTGAAATTCGATTTAGAATTAAACAAGCAAATGCTTTTTTAAAAAAAAAGTATAATAAAATATGCTGCTTCGCTTATGGTTTTTACAAATTCATTCAAGACATAAATCGAGCACGTGGCATTTGGTGTAGTAAAAGCCGTTCGACAGTCAACGAAATGTAAATAAACACAATAAAGACATAAATTATCGTTCGCATGGTGACAAAACCGATTGCGTGTAGAATGGCAGGTGCGTTGTTTAAATATAAATTTATTTAAAAACTTTCAGCGCTAATTATCCTAAGCTTCCTCTTAAAAACTTGACATTCCTGAGACAAGAGATCGACTTTTTCTTTATAACTCTTTTTCTGATGATTTTTACTTAAACGGTTGAGCTCTGTAGTGACTGTTTTCTGTCTTCAAGAATTTTTAATCTGTTTCCTCGAGGCTTACTTCAACTCTGCGATGGTAATTTTATGACAGGTCGTGTGTACACCTGACTTTTAATTAAACTCTTGCCTCTGTAATCAAAAGACATCCAACTCTCAATTGAGAAACATTTCGACCAGCCAGCCATATATTTACATAAAATACAATATAATTTATCATAAATAAGCTTGCCTTTCAGTTTCTTTTAAAATCGTTAAGGATTTTTGGATTCTAAGAGAAATTGTTTACCGTAAATTCAGCAATGGAGTTGACCAATTGAACGATAAAGTTTAATAGTGCATGTCTCGTTTAGACGCAACACGTTAGGACATTCACGCCTAGCCTCTAAAACATTTGTCTTATTTTAGCAACAGTGCGTGCTATGATTGGGTGGCAAATCTGAATGAAAGGTGTTCACTTTGAGATCCTGTCCACAATACACCGGAGAAATTTTAAAACGGGGGTTTCACTCCGGAAACGCATCAAATGTTTTCCTTCCACACTACGCCGGAGAAATTTGAAAACGCAACAATCACCTGTCATTTTGCGATACGTCTTTGAGGAAAATTCGAGCAGGGAAGTTCCATGATTATCTTGATGTCCTCGTTTTCGAAAATCCCCTTTTTCAAAATGTTTTCCGCCCAAACCAAAACGCTAATGAAGCCGGCGTTTCGAAACTCCTCAGGCTTGAAGAGCGTTTTCGAAAAGCTCAGTTTCCGTGACGGATTGGAATGTAGGTCTAACCGTAGAAATAAAGCTACCGTTTTCAAATTTCTCCAGGCGTAGTGAGGATGGGGCCTATCAGACGAAGTACGAAATGTAACAGCTGTAAATGTATTGAGTAACAAGACGTAAATGGTTGGTTGAGAACTCAGGAATCTAGCCTGACAAACTGTAAAGCGTTGCCGTTGTTCAATATTGCCAGCGTTTGAAAGTTTCCCCGGCGACGGTTTAGCATTTGCCTTTCAAAATGGCGCCGAATATCTTCTTGTAACTCACCAAATTAAGAGGCCTTACCCCCATTTTGCAAGTGCTCAAAATTATTCTATAAATTTGAAGCCTTTTTTTCGCTATATATGACTAATTTTAATTGTCCCCTCTCAACAGGTTATGGACACTTTGCCCCTAGAACCTTACCTGGTCGCCTGTTCTGTATGGTTTACGCCTTATTTGGCATACCGGTCACGTGGCTAATGCTGACGTCACTGGGAAGAAAAATCGTGGAGTACATTGGATTATCGCTACAAAACAGGGAATGCAAACCGGAAACTAAGCTGTATAACCTGTTTTGTCTGCTGGTTGCTACACTGTTAGCGTTTTTCGTAATGATGGTCATAGCTTTGGTAGGAATGTTTGCAGAAAACTGGACATTTTTTGAAGGGATGTATTTTGCTTTTATAAGTGTAACTACAATAGGATTTGGCGATTATGTTCCAATGCATCCGAATTTCAATCCCAAAGATGTGGAGCGGTCTTCCTTTTCAATATCTTTGTTTGTGTTGTTTTGCTTTTTGTTGTTTTCGTTCGGACTCGCTGTCAACACAAGTGTGTTGTTATCAATACGAAAAATAATGGAGGATAAAACTATCTTTGGGTTCCACTCGCTGTATAACAGCGAGAGTGATGACGAAGAAGATACAATCGACGAAGAAGAAGAAATAAACAGGAACACAAAATGATATCGACAATATAAAAAAGTGTTTCAGTAAGAGGGTACAGCCGAGGAATCATAGCAAAAGAACATACCACTGAGTAAGCGGTAGATTTTGCAGGAGACAAATCCCCGGAAGCATAAAGCAAGAAGATTCCCCGGAGCGGATAACCAGGAGAAGTCGCAAGGAAAAATAACCAGAAGAACATGAAAGGGACAGCCGTCGACCAAAATCCAGTTTGCAAAACCTAGACATCATTACTAAGATAATTGTTTAGGATGTTTTTGGCCTCTCTGTAATTACTTTTACTGTTTGAGTAATAAAAATAAATGAATAAAAAGCCAAAATGAACGACCGAGTGCGTAAGGGGAGATTTTTAAATGGTAGTTTTAATGACACTTTTTATTGTTATCTATGCGAGATAACACAAAATTTTGTAGACGGATTTTGAACTCTTTTTCAAATAGTTAAAATTTTACTTTGTCCTAGTTTGAGAAAACTATGTTTCACAGATTTCTACTTTATTTTGCATGCATACTTAATTAACCTAGGTTCGTTCAACAACCCTTTTATCGGTTAGTTCTTCTCATTTGCATTATAATGTAATCCGACGTGGATGCGAGGCAATTTCGGATAGAAACTACAAAATTAATTTCTCGAAATTGCCTCGCACACATCTTGGATAATATTGTAATGCAAATGAGAAAATTTAACGCTAGATGGGTTACTAGATTAGATATAACAGCGTTTCTTCTTGGATTATCTGCGAGCTGGAAATGCTTTTTAAAAGGAACTTTGAAGTTTGGTTGGGCTTGACCCAGACCTCTGAATCGCGTGTCTACTGCACTAAAAGGTATCTGTCGAGACGTGTGTTGAAGTTTTAACACGTATCTTGAACCTCCGGTTAACTTGCATGTGAATATAGTTTGGTCTTGACAGCTAACCTTTGTTGCAGAGGCGAAGGTCGATTTCTGAGCCTTTCCATTAAAATTAAATTCCACTCTTGGCGACAATAATGAACTTTCTACATTGATAAATAACTATTTTTATAATAAAAGTGGTGTTGATTACATGTATATTAATCTTGATCTGTGAAAGAATGAATGGTCTCTTTAGGTCGGAGTGCTTTCTCAATCAAGTTTTCCATGAAATACAAATACAATTTATATATACTTAGCTCTCACGAGTTGAAAATCTTTTCATGTATTTCCATCTATTCAATATCTTTAATGACATCTTGGTATTTTAAGCGTACGAATGTCTAATGAGATATTTGGCTTCCTGTTCTCTGATTTAGAAAGATACATCCCTTCATTATTATAGCAGAAAGGAAAATAAAGTTTTAAGGATACTGCCATCTTTATTTTACATTGAGTCATTGCAAATTTTCTAAGCTTGTAGTATGCTATGGTTGGGTTTTAAATTTAACCTTCACTGGCAAATCTCTCTGCGTGCGAAAGTCGTTTTGAGCTAAAGGTTACCCATAAAACCACTTTTACAAGCATATAATTATACTTAGTAAAGTAATAAGATATTAAGGTGTTAGGAAAGAATACCGCCAAAGTTATCAAAGGTGTCATCATATTAGAAGGAATAAAACGAAATGTCACTGTTGACAAGTCAATTTTACAGAGGTTTTTATAGATAAAATCCGTCATTTTTTGCGGAACTAGATTAATCTACACCACATATATTATTGATGAGATAAACAAACTGGCTTAGCCAGCAGTGCTGACGTTTCTGCTATACTAGCAGCTCTGCATAATTTAAAATCGTGTTTGATCGTCTCCATGGAGTGGTGAAGATAGCGCTCGCTCGCTCACTCACTCACTCACTCAGTCACTCACTCAAAACAAGACAATGTTTCACCCATATAGAGAATATATAAATATATAAAATCACCTCGTAACCAAGCCTGGTGTATTAGCTCAGAAAACTAAAACTGTGTGTGTTCGCTTGCAAATTAAAAAGATAACTTTTAGTTTAATTTAATATGTACTTATTTAGTCCCAAATCAAACAGTTAATGTGTAGCTAAACAGTTGACCTTTTTGTCGATAGTAACTTCAGAGGATGGCTCGCTCCCGCCTTATATGGGGACGAGTCGCCCCTCGGGGTATGCTCTTGGCCTTTTTGCCCCGAACAGGATGTCAAGTGAGTATGTCCTTAACACGGTCTGAAATAATCGTAGTTGCAGGGTTGTCAATATCCTCCACTTCCATCCATCCAATCTTTAATCTTAAACAGAACCTCAGAATAGAGGGTGGGGGTAGCTATTCTAAGGTTTCTTCGTCTTAAACAAGATCAACCTTTCAAATCTAAGGCCACATCCCAATATCTGAACGTAGGTCGTCCCCTTACCCCCTCCCCCATCCCTGTAACCATGGTAGCAGGTGACTCAGAGTATTTTTATTTCATTTAGAGGGATTGTTTATTCCATGGTAAAGATCTCATGAAGACTTCGACTGTATGACCACTTTAAAAACAATCTGTGCACGCCAATTCAAAAATTCAGTGGAAAAACTAATAACAGATTAATATATGAATAATACATCAACAAAAAAATTGATTTTAAAAAAATGTGTTTGTCCCTTATTCATAAATATACTGCATACGTCGGTTTATAAGATGCTAAATAATAAATAAACAACAAATAAATATATAAATAAATGAAATTATAAAATAAATAAACATGCCGCATTGTGACCAGTTTGAAAACAATCTCATTATATTGGCGTCACTTTGCAAATATATTGAGCGTACAAAAGTCGAAAAAGTAAAAACTGTCCATATATATGTCCGTTTATGCAACATTTTTATTATGTGCCACGTTAAAAATAAATTTCGCGAGTCGGCTGATAAAAAAATATTGCATTTGCAACTGTTTAAAAATAAACATGGTGGGTGTTTCTAGAAAGGCAAATAAGTTTCATTTCTAAACGTAGAAGAGAGTAATTGCGCCGAATTTACTAATTAACGGACTTTCGTGGGCAGCAGAAATAATTCAATATTTTCAATCTTCTTTGGCCCTCGAACAACGAACTGAAATCTTTCGCGTTATTCAAGTTGATAACTTGGAATCGAAACAAAAATAGAATTTAGAAACAAGGAAATCATGCTCATTTCCATGTAATGGCTCAAAAGCCCGGAAAGAAAATACAAATATATGAGATTGACTCTGGCGACAGTATTTTTAAAAAGATTAGAGGCACAAAGACTGACAAGTGTCGTGTTAATTGCCTAGTGAATAGATGAATAGATTGAATTTTACCTGAGAACTATTTCCTGTTTCCAAGTCATTCAGCGAAGAAACCAGAAACTTTCAAGGACCGACGAAACGACTTTAGGAAAATGCTTTTAAAATGTCAGTTAAACCACATTTATCATGATAAAGCCACGACTGAAAGTGATATCCGATAGTTATCTCATCCCAGAGTGACAATTCATACTTAAGAAACCGGGTTCGAATGACATTGAAATTGCGACTCTTATTACGAATAGAAAATCCAAAACAACTTTTAAACTCGTGGAATTTTTCATTAGACACCGAAATATCACTGAGACGTTTAATGTGTTGAGGTTGCCCAGAACAAAAAACCGCATATAGCACATCAATTTAAGTAACCCCTAAGGACATTGTTTAAAATTCCTTTTTGCAATAGGCTGAAAATGGTGTTTTATGGCTTTAGAAAATCGTAAACACCGCTTTATCTCTAACAACTGCGAGTTCCCACTGTTTCCCCAGAGCTGCTACGGAAAACTCTTTAACTTCTCATTCTGTTTGTTCTCAAGAGATTTCATTCCTGTTTTAAGTTCGAACTGAAAATAACCCTGTCATATTTCGACCTGACTTGCAGCTTTTATTGCGAAAAACCGCAAATGAATGGTCAATACAAGAAAAAATGGAGGAACGTTGTTGTCAAAAAAACGCGTGGGTAGTACGCGCATGCGTATTGGATGAACTCCTTCGGTTCCGATGACCGGTAATTTGGCGCTCCTACGCAAAGTCACATAACGGCGTAAGTTTGGCTCATTGTACATGAAAATTTCCTGCATACAATCGAATACAAGGGCCTTGACGTCCCCACCAGGCAGCTTAATTACCTCAAAACACGTATAAAAGAATGGCCTCATAAAACTAAGGAAACGTCAGGAAATTAGAGAGGGACGTTTTGTGTTCAACGAAGAAAAGACAGATGTTATTTAGCTAAGATTTACGACCTGAACGACGCTTAAACGCGAATATAATATAATCCGTTCAAACTATGTTTAAACGAAGGGAGCTTTAATCAGTCGAGAAGGTGAACTATGTGGATCGCGGAGGGTTCGAGAAATCTCGTCATTCAAATTGGAGTATTTATGGTTTATGTTTTTTTGGGAGCTGTCGTTTTTCAGGCATTAGAGTCACACAATGAAGAAGAGGAACGAGAAGCCATGCTCAAAGCGAGAAACCATCTCCAGGAAAAATACAACATTTCGCAGGACGACCTGAAAGTTTTCATCAACAAAATCGAAGAGATTGTGGATCATGGTTTCAGCCAGCACTGGGTGAAAAGATGGACTATTCTTGGTTCTCTGTTTTTCGCGGGGACTGTTGTGACTACCATAGGTAAGTCCATTATTAAGCTTTGACAGTAAACCATGGTACTTTTTACTTTTCCTGACAAAGTTTTCCACTCGTTCAAGGTCTATCACAGACATCTTTGACAAGTGAGAGATCGATTAACAACAACACAGTTGTCATTTTAAAAACGAGCACTTCAATAATGCCAGAAAAATCAGTGAGGGATTATTCTTTTATGTAAGAAGGTTACGTTTTGCAGTTGCAAGAAGTTACGTTTCTGTCGACTGCTTGAAAAAATGAATTTTCTATTTACGTATGTTCTACCAATTTATTCGGCAGTTTTGCACGTAATGGGTTACTAACAGAGATGAAAACCCATTTTGGTGCTTCGTTGGTGGCATATTCTAAGTAGGGTTCCATCTGTATGTTCCTAAATTCATTTAGTAAAAGTCAAAAGACAGAGGTAATTTTTTTTAAATCTCTGCACGAAAAATGTTAATTATCTGGAGACAGGAGACATTAAATTGTAAACTACCAAGACTTTTTTTTTTTCGTAAGAGCCACGTTTACATGAACATAAAATATGCAGGGAAGGTTGCAATGTTGATAAGAGCAAACGTAAATTTTTTTTTTTTTTTTTCTATTTTCTTTCTAATTACTTGGGAAAATAAATCATCAATTCACCAAATAGACTCATATTCCAGACTGGAAAATGACTTGTCTGAAACACTAAAGTAAAACTACTATCAATTAAATTTCGGCTGTTTACAAAACCATTTTAGAATTTTAAAACTCGTCTGTTACAATATTATATTTCCAAGTTTTGTGCTTTCGTCCCCATTCTGGAAGAAAGACAAATGTGTTTTCATGTTATATTTACAGTTATAAAGAGGCTTGATTACTGTGAAAAGCACAAAATTCTACCCAACTAAAACAGCTTCAAATGTTCTCGACTTTTCGATTTTCCATAGACATATGTAATGATGAATTTATCATATAAAGTGAATCTTCCATCTGACAAATGATAAAATTGAAGTTTTTTTTGTCAATATCATGTTTTTTTTTCAGTTGAAAAAATACACCTGCTTATATTTGGTACCCTAAGCCCGAGCTTCACAAATGGTTTTCACTGAAGAAACGTTCCAATGCTTTCGTTCATCTATCTCCAGAATCGACCGGTCAATATGAAATTTGATATATTGTTGGTATATTTAGATTTAAGACCAATTTTTATCACCTTTCTAGTTCTAACTAGGTTCATCATTTCATTCGATCACCAATATTTGGTTCAATTGAAAACACTTCTCGTTGTAGTTGCAATTATATTGCCCGAGGTCCATTTATATTTCATAACTGACGACCGAATTCAGCAAAAATTACATCAAGACTACTGTCTTTATTTCATCCGGTCGTATCTACCAACTCTCTCAACAAAAGTGGGTCATTTTTAGAGCAGATTTTTTTGACATTGGCAGCTAATTTTATTCGGTCCCTGAGATTTACCAAAGTACAAATTTTATAGTGTATGTTTCTGTCTCCAGACATGGTGAAATGATTTTTTTTTTGGTATATTTTGCTAAAATCACTTAAATTTGTATGACATTTGAAAAAAGATTTTGGATAGAATTTTACATTTTAATTGATTTCTAATTATTGAGGTTTTTCGGCAACGTGTCTTTCATTTTTCGGTCATCTCAAACAGAAGATCAATTCTATCACTTTAAACTAACGTACAGCGACACAGATGAACAAGACAAAAAAAAATAAATAATAGACATTTTAAATGTAGCTTAAAAGACAACAACCCGGTTATTTTTTCAATCAAAGCGAGTTCATCAGATAAACAAAATTTTTCACAAAAGCTTTGTTGTGTCGTCGGCACCAGCCAATTCACAATTTTCTTAATCGGCTAGGAGTCGATTCGTTTCCATAAACTGACTAAACGAAAAACAATGAGTTACAAACAAAAGGCAACAGAAACAATTGCCTTCGATTTTTCTTTAAGAATCAAACAAATACAGGACGATACTGGAAAATAATGTTAAAACCATGTTAAGCATATAAAGGACCTTTTTTTTCCTAAAAAAAAAAGGTGGAGCCACACGTGATTCATCCTGTTTATTTTTCATATTGTGAGTGGAAATGAATTTTTTATTTATATTCAGAACATTCCAGGTGATTTTCGGCAAAGGAGAGCCCCGCTAAGATTATTTTTCATGACTACATAAACGCCACTTTGCGTGGGAATCAAAATTCAAAACAATCTTGGAAATTGTTCAAAAGTGCGTCAAGGTTTTGGCTTGTTTTCGCATGTTCTGGCTAGGTGGAAAAGTTTCTCTATTAAACGTTGACCACTGCTATTCACTGCATGTTGGCTCGTAGCCGAAAGTACACGCAGCGAACTGAATGTTAAGGCGCTTTTCTGGAAAGTAGATAAGTAAGAGATGATGAAGAAGGTACATCCCCCATAAAGCCTTTCTATTTTAGATATGGAACCCAGTCCTCCTGCGAATAACCTTACCACGCCGTTGCGGAGATGTTTTTGTGAAGGATGAAAATGCGTGTAAAGGCGCTTGAGCTGTCCACAGGAATCTTTCAGGGTAATCTAAAAATAACTTAAGCGAGATTATCTCAGAAATAAGGCTTCTATGGGAGATAAGCTCTCCTAATCTTCATCCTCCCTTAGATAAGATATCATTTCTTCCTTTAGTCGACTTAAGATATATTACATAGCTTTCTAACCCGAATAAAAGAGGAAAAATTAAAAACGTAAACATAATCATCAAACTTAATAATCAGCAGATTGAAAAAAATCATTATCAATGTAGGGGGGACTATTCTCCACATAGTTAGAGAAATGTGTAGGAGAAACTCTTACAAGTTCAATAGCCATGAAATCCAGTCTTTATCTAATATTGACCAGAGAATTTTACAGAATTTGCTTTCTGGCAAACTATAAGGTTACTTTTCGCATCTCGGTATTGAAATCCAAGATGGCGACCACTCGGATCTAACACAGGCAGCCATCTTGAACTTGATGAGATCTCACGAGACTCATAGTCACATTTTATGTCACATTTTAAAATTTTAAGTACTACTGCTCTGGCAAAAAGAGAAAAATTAAATTTGCCATGGAGACGGTTTTTCTTACTCTGCCTTTTCCCCGTTGATCATTGTAGCTATTAATAATAAAATAATAATAATAATACAATATATTTATATAGCTCAAATTTCATAAAGTAACGTTCAAATGCGCTTCACAATATAAAGTTAGTAAAAAGAGTAAAAATTACACTAATAAGGTAAATTCACACAGTAAAAAATGGAAAACAGGAAACAATAATAATTAATAGGCCACGGTTGATATATCAAAATTCTGACATGGCTCCGAGGCTTTCAGGAGAAAATTGCAAATTTGTTGAATCTCCTTTGTCTCTCAATTCCCAAAGGAGACTTGGACATAAAGAAAGCACCCGTCCAAATAAAATATGGAAGTTTGTCCTGAAAGCCTCGAAGCTTGTAAGAATATTGATATATCGTAATATCGAACGTGACCTATTCCTCCATCACTAGGGTACGGTCACGTGACCCCTTGCACAGACGAAGGCCGTATATTCTGTATCCTGTACGCCTTGGTTGGAATACCACTGACCTGGCTTATGTTGTCAACTCTGGCGCAGCACATCAACGATTGGATCAGTAGAGCACTAAAATGCTGCCACGAGCGGGTCCTTCAAAAGAAACCTTCAGGAATCGGGATCAAGACTGCAGTCATCACACTGGCCTTGAGCGTGTTGATGGTTTTAATTATAGGCTTATTCGGGTGTTACCTAGAGGGCTGGAGATACTTGGACGGGATTTACTTCGGGTTTATAACACTTACGACGATTGGCTTTGGAGATTTCGTCCCGCTGCACCCGTCGCCCAATCGCGATGCGGACGGTTACACGTGGCATGTGGTCATGTTTACTGTCATGAGTATCATGTACTTCACTGTTGGATTGGCCATCGTGTCCAGTGTCTTGCTGTCAATCAGAAACGCCATGGAAGACAAGTCACTGGCAGGATTCCAAATGCTCAAGGACACTGGAGACGAGTAAGACCCAGTCTCTGTCGTCAGAGCAAGGACGACCAGGGTTCGTCGAAGCCAGCGCCGAGATTCAAACTCTCTTGCTGCTTCATTTTAGGACCTGCAGAATCTCTCAGTAATATACATTACCATAAAGCTGTTAAACAGTTCAAATGGCAATAAAAATGATCACCGGTCTTTCACACGTAGCATTGCATCTTACTCATCTGTAACTGTTGTTGGAGAGTGATATGCTCAGACCTCTGGGACGCTTGCACACTCCAGCCTCGCCTTCTCTTCCTCCCCCAACCCCCACCCCCC